TCTTAGATTTTCCGCACTTAACCAGTGCTACTCCAAGTCCTTTAATCTTGCCAATACCCTGCTATTGCTCCCTGAAGCATGGGCTAAGAAAAAGTAAAAGCGCACTCACACTTTCACATACCGAGCTCACATCTTGTACAGTCTCCATGAAAACCTAAGGAAAATGTTGTAGAAAGCACAGGCAGAGCTTATTAAATTTTCTTGTGACCCATGGCCCATATAAAGTCTCAGTGCATAAAGGAACTATGCAAGATCATGTAGCCTTTTACTTAGCCCTCAGGGAATCTGCCATTCCGAAAATATGGCCTATTAAAAGGAGTAACTTCCAAGGACAATTCCATAAGCTTTCTTGTTCATGTTCATAGCTGTATCAGCACCACATCAATACTTTCCTTTTTTCATTTTGGTGAGAAATAGACGCCATGGACCTTAATGTGACAAACCAAAAACAGCCTCACTGCTGTTGAGTTGGTCCCAACTCATCGTGACCCCTCCTTGGGTTTCTGAGGCCGTATCTCTATGGAACTAGATTACCCAGTCTTCCTTCCGAGAAGTGGCTGGTAGGTTTCAACTGCCAGCCTTCTTATTAGCAGTCAAATGCCTTAATACCACCAGAGCTCCCAACTGTGATAAATATTGTGTAATTCCCTAATTGTGAAACTAGTTAGACCCAGCAATACGTGCTGATGGAAGTTTGGTGGGTTTGACTATAGTCATTTATTTAGGATAATGGGTGAGCTACTAACTTTGTAATTGAATCCTTGCTGCTGCTTCTGCTTGCATGGAAAACTGCCTTGGCATGCCACTATGGGTAGCTCTTAGGCTTCTGACTCTTTTGGTCTGGATGTTTTCAGTCCAACATAGAAGCTGGGCAAAGAAAGGAAGAAAAACTAGAATACCAACATTGATGAGGCCACGTGATGAGTGGAAAGCTCAGTCAATTAGGACTATAACTCTATTCTGGTTTAGGTTGTGTTTGTCAATAGCTGAGGACCATGGACTAGTTGTTCAACCTGCAGTTCTCAATTGCTTCATTTATGAACACCTTACTTGCCTGAGGTCTAGGAGCTGTTTGGGGTAATTTAAAGATCCTTTAGAGTTCTAAAATCTATTTGTAATCCAGATAAGCAGTCATAAATGGGAGTGAAAATTATCATTAACAAACAATGCATTTCTCTAGTTTTCCCTGATCATTTTTCTTCTAGGTCCAGGCCCTGTCTTCTTCCTTTTCAAATTTTTATTGATTTGGGTGAAAGTTTACAGAGCAAATTCATTTTCCATACAGCAGTTCACACACACTTTGTTTCATGACATTGACTGCAATATCCCACAATGCAACACCTTTCTTCACACTTCCTCCCATAGTCACCTCTTCCCTATGTCCTTCCCTCTCATGCACTCCTGCCCCCTCAGCCATCTCCTCTGGGCATACACAGCCCTTCTATTCTCCCATGACTGATCTCTCTAAGGAGTGTATCTACCTAATGTAAATGTCCAGCTCATATGCCTGTCCTTTGTTTGACTGGAAGCCACAGGAGTGGGTTCAATTCCAGACCTGAAGGGCAGTGAGGGGCCATAGTCTCAGGGTTCCCACCAGGCTCTATCAGACCAGCAAACCTGGCCCCCCCCCCCTTTTTTTAAATGATTTTGAGTTTTGTTCTACATTGTTCTCCCACACTATCCAGGATCTCCTGCATAGATCCTTCTCTGAGTAGTTGACAGTGGTAGCCGGGTACCTGAGTAGTTGACAGTGGTAGCCGGGCACCATCTAGTTCTTCTGGTCTCATAGTCATATAGGCTGAGGATTGTATGGTGTGCCAGTCCCTTGGACTAATTGTTTCTGTCTGTCTTTGGTTTTCTTCATTCTTCTTTGCTCTGGACAAGGAGAGACCCATTGTTGCATCTAGATGGCTGCTTGCAAGCTTTTAAGATCCCAGTCCCTACTCACCAAAGTAGGATGTGGAACAATGTTTTTGTGTAGTATGTTATGCCAATTGAGCTTGATGTCCCCTGTGACCATGGTTCCGGGCCAGCCCCTCTTTTAGGAGATGCCCAAAGCTTGTACTGGCAGGAAGTAGGGTGGTGGGTGCATTTCAGTTAATGGGCCCAGTTGGAACATGTTTGTCTGTGGAGACAGCTACACTCATATTACCAAGCCTTGGCTTCCTGTCTGTTTTCTTTGGGCTGGGTAGGCAATGAAAAAGGAGACAGGAAAATACATTTTGGGGCAAATAAAATAAGGAATTTGTCTTATGAAGACAGCTTATAGTTGGGAATTCTAATGTTCAGCTTAACCGTATCCTGATATATTCTTCTTGTCCTGCACTTAAGTGGAAGATAAATTGTTCTCAATAACTATGGAATATAACCTCCCCCTTCTTGAAGGCTTTTAATAATGCTTCATTTGTTTTTTTCCTTTAATGGATAATAATCCTAATTCCCTTAGTATTTTTTCAAAGGACACATTCTTAATTTAGCCCTCATTTTAATGGCTCTCTTTTGAATTGGTTATTTAATATTTTATTAAAATGTTCAGGCTCCATACTAGGGCCTCACTGGTACAGAATATGTAGGAAGGAATCCACAGCATATTTTTATTTATATATTAGGCATTGCACTGGTTCACCACAGCACTCCCCTACAGATGTATACTCAACTAATGAACTCTGGTAGCATAGTGCCTAAGGCATGTGACTGCTAACCAGAAGGCTGGTGGTCCAAACCCACCAACCACTCCTTGGAAGGAAGTTGGGCAATCTACTTCTGTAGTGATACCACTTCGGAAACTCAAGGAGGGGTCACTATGAATTGGATCCGACTCCATGGCAGTAGGTTTTTTTTTTTTTTTTTTTAATGTTGCACCAAGATTCAGATATTTTTCTGTTATACTTGTACCAAGATAATACTGTAGTCTTTTGTTAAGAATGATTTGAAGAAGTATTAGTGTCTTGGGTATACTTTATTTATTTATTCCTAGTTTTCTGAGGAGAGCTCTGGTGGCATAGTGCCTAAAGCATATGACTGCTAACAAGAAGACTGGTGGTTCAAACCCACCAGAAACTCCTTGGAAGGAAGGTTAGGCAATCTACTTCCAGAGAGATACCACCTTGCAAACCCAAGGAGGGGTGAGGAGTCACTATGAGTTGAATCGACTCGATAGCAGTGTTTTTGGTTTTAGAGTTTTCTGAATTTTGTGTGTGTCTGTGTGCTTTGGGTGCAAATTTACAAAGCAAATTTGATTTACATTCAACAGTTCATGCACATTTGATTTCATGCCTGGAATACCATCCCCAACCAAAGAAAACTCTTCTCCCCTCCTCTCCTCTCCCCTCCCCTCCGTGTGACTACCCCTTCCCTGTGCCCTTCTTAACTATGCACTCCTGTCTGTCCAGCTTTCCCTCTGGGTGAATGCTGCCCCTCTGGTGTCTCATGGCTGATTGATCTAAGGGGTGCATCTCCCCAGAGTAGGTGGGTGCACCTCCCTGGAGTAGGTGTTCTGCATGTAGGTCTTTCTGTTGTTGGGCTGAGAGACAATCATGGATGTAAGTCCATTTCTAGGCTCAAAGGGTAACTCGGGGCCATAGTCTCAGTGGTTCTCCCAATTTCTATCTGACCAGTAATTCTGGTCATTTTTGTGTTTTTGAATTTTGTTCCACATTTTTCCTTCCACTCTACCCAGGATATCCAATTTTGATCCCTTTCCAAGTGGTTGGCATTAGTAGCTGGGCACCATATAGTTTTTTTGGTCTCAAGGTCATGAAGGCTGAAGTCTTCATGGTCCTTCATATCTTTGGATTAATTGTTTCCAGATGCCTTTGATTTCTTCACTCTTCTTTGCTCCAGATGAGAGGAGACCAAATAGTTGCATCTTAGATGGCCATTTGAAAGCTTTTAAGACTCTGGGTATACTTTAATTTGTATATTTCTTTAATATCCTGAGTTGCCTTCGATTTTAGGCTTGAATAAACTAGTAAAGAGACAGAGGAGTTTTGTGTGTTTCTTTCTTTCTTTTTAATTATGGAGTCTCACATCCACATGTTAACCCAAAGGATATTTCTCTCTCTCTCTTTTTTTTTTTTTTTTTTAAAAAAAAAAAAAAAAAAAACCCACAGTACTAGATTATTATTATTATTTTTTTTTAAAAAAAAACATTCTTTCTGATTTAACATTATCATACACTTTCAGACTTTGGAATATCACAAAATAGTTAGATTCTTCTTGAGAATTTGAGTTTCCTAGCTTGCAAATGGGGAATCAAGACTGGGCAGTCTACTTCCATAAAGATTTACCGCCTCAGAAACCCAATGGGGATCGCTATGACTCGATGGCAGTGGGTTTGAGCCTGAAAATGAAAAGGCAATATTTCTGATTTTTTTTTTTTTTTCTCATAAAGGGGTTCTAGGTTTGCATTTTGGTTTTTCAGGAAAGAGTTTCAGTAAGGTGTAGTTATAACATGAAAAAGAAAAATGTCATTATGGTCATCATAGAAATTTCCCTTTGACAAATGCGTTTGATCCACAACCATCCCAACCTTATGGTAGCTTTGCTTCTGCTAGAGCTGTGGGATGGTATGGTTTACGTGCAGGGACTCTTGGAGCTTTCAGAGGAAGTTTCCTCCTGTATGAAACAAGCAAACAACCCCTAACACACACTCACCGTTCCTACCTTTCACAGAGAGGGCCAGGGGGTGAGAGGAGGCGCCCAGAGAGCTCCTTCTGAGCTCTAGCTTCCTGGCCTCTCTACTGCTGCTGAACGCCCAGTCTACCTCTGGAAACCTCTGCTTTTCTACTTGTGGAATAGAATTAGGAATGCTTGCCACCAGATAATGCTATTAAAGCAATTTGAAATGGAAGGCATTATATAGACACATCATTATAAATATCAGTATTGATAAATCCTTGGCTTAACCCCCCCTCAGTGTGTATGTTCACATATCTATTTAGCATGGTCAATTGTTCAGCTAATTAATATGCTTTTATTTTATGATTTGCTGTTTCCAGGGCACAGACAGAAGCTTGATGACTCTAAACCTAGTTTGTTCTCTGACCGCCTCAGTGATTTAGGGCGCATTCCTCATCCCAGTATGAGAGTAGGTGTCCCGCCTCAGAACCCACGGCCCTCCCTGAACTCTGCACCAAGTCCTTTTAATCCACAAGGACAGAGTCAGATTACAGGTAAGACAGACTCATAGGTTTCACTTGCACAGACTCTGGCAGGCTGGGGGTGAGGGGTTACCAGATAAGATGTGTTCACTTCAAAACTCCTGGAGCTGTGAAATGGCTTATTATTCAAGAATCAAGACTTGAAGATACTGATTTCTTCCTTTTTTTTTAACGTGGAAAACAAATTCCGATATTCATTCAATACCTTGGGATAAAAGTTTGGGGAAATTTCTACTACTACTTATTGCTGCTGTACTCTGCAGCAATGCCAGTCTGCACACTGGTGGAATGGTAATAAGGATGGTCTTTGGGAGAATGTTTTAAGTTTCTTTATTGTGTCCAGGTGGTGTAGGGGATAACATCACACCCTCACTATTAGACGAATTAGTGCTACCATCTCAGGTTTGGGCTTAAATTTCTTGTGTGTATAACTATTTCATTCAGTTTGCTTGAAAATTGCCCAGGGCTTACAGGAAGCCTTCATTCATTGGTAGTTATAACACAAGGTCAATGAGCAACTCATTGCGAAGGCAGAATTCACTCTGATTCACATTTATCTTTTCATTCGTCATGCAACATTCCCTTTGTACATTCTGGTAAATGCTTACTTTGCCTTTTTTCTTAAAAATTAACATCAGCATCACATTACAGATTAATCATTCACATTTGGTGCATCAATACTGCCAAGTCCTTTTTTTTTTCCTTCTGTCCCACTAGTGCAAAACAAATCTTATTTTAGGACTAGTCTAATGCTGGGTTATGGTGACAAGAGAGTATTTGATCATCAGTGAGCTTTAATTTATCGATCACAAGTATTAAGAAGTGAAAGGAACACTACATATCAGAGAGTTGCTGTCTTTGGCAGAGGGGGATTCGAATCAAGTGAAAATAAAACAAAACCTGTAATAAAACCTCAATGTAGATCTTCTCTAGTGGGCAGTTTGTTGTTTATAGTGTTTAGGTCTGAGTGTCCTTGTAGTCTCAAAACAAAACTGTTCATAAATTAAATGACTTATCTCCTTCTTTTTTTTACCCATATTAAGTAAATGTATTCTTGGATATTAGAGTAGTTTTCACCTTCTGTGAGTATATGTATGTTAGATTGAACATATGGGTATGCATGAATATATTTTCTAAAACATAATATGGAATTATAAAAGTGAAATATCTAAACATGGATATCTGCAGCAGGAAAGAATCTTTCTTAGAGCTTTATGGAGAATGGCCATGTGTTAGCCTAAATAAAACTCTAAATGCTGATATATAGGAATCAAAAGGTTAATGTGTTCCTTAGACATAAGTCTTTGATAAAAATGCACATGTGAAATTCAGACTAACTTGTGAATTTCAAGCTTGTAGCTACTGCATTGAGAGTGGTTGACTTTAGATCGCTGATTAAGGTTTATAGTAAGTGTCCTTTTGTCTTTTTTAAAAGTTTTATTACAGTAAAAGTATATAACAAAAGTTTGCCATTTTAACTGCTTTTCGGAGATAGTAATTATATTCATCATCTTGTGCTGTCCATTTCCAAAAGTTTTTCACCACCCCAAACAGAAGCTCAGTACTCCTTCAACCATAACTCCCCATTCTTTTCTCCTTCTAGACCCTTTTACCCACTAATAAGCTTTTCTGTGTATACATTTGCCTGTTCTAGGTATTTCATATAAATGGGATCATACAATATTTGTTCTTTGACAAATAATGTTAAATATATCTACACATTGACACTATGCTGTGCAAAATAAGCCAATCACAAAAGGACAAATATTGTATGACCTTGTTATGATCTGTAGGAGCTCTGGTAGCATAGTGGCTGAAGCACTTGACTGCTAACCAGAAGGCTGGCGGTTCAAACCCACTAGCCACTCCTCGGAAGGAAGGTTGGGCAATCCTACTTCTGTAGTGATACTGCCTCGGAAACCCAAGGAGGGGTCGCTATGAGTTGGGGCCAACTCGACGGCACATAACAACAACAACAACAATTATGATCTGTAAGAAAAAACAAATGTGTAGAGACCAAAATTTATTAATGGTTACCAGAGGTGTCAAGGAGGAGAAAGGGAGGGTTAATGGTGATGGAAAAATTGCATTGATTAAGAGTAGGGTTGCACAGCTAATTATTGTTATTGCTGTCAAGTTGAGTTGGCAAAAGTTGTGTGATTGATACACTTAGAGCAACAACGAGAAAAGAGTACCTGCGAGTCTGCTTATGTGCAAACACATTATAGGATTTAGTTCCTTGGTTTGGAGGTTTAGGGTCATGGTTTCATGGGACATCTTAGTTAATTGGCCTAATCATGTGTTTAGTGCTTCTGTTCTACCTCCTAGTTTGCTGCATAGTGCCTATGATCTTAAAAGCTTGCAAGCAGCTATCCCACGAACAACAATTAGTCTATTCACATGGAGCAGCAGAGGAAGAAGGAGAGACAGGAATAGGTGGAGAATGTGGAATGTGTGGCTAATTGCCTCTATGAACAACTGCCTCTTTTGCTGTGAGTCCAGAAGAACTGGATAGTGCCTGGCTACCATTACTGAACATTTTGAAAAAAAAAAACTCCATGGAAGAATCCTGATCAAAAGTAGGGAAATACAGAGCATTTCACTGGATATCTTTTAAAAATGAACACATAGAATTAATTAATTTTTAGGTATGAGAGTTTCCTGGGATTTTTATACCACAAGAGTATTAGCTCTGCAGTTTTAAATTATAGTAGTCATAGAATTGACTTGAAAACCCTCTGAAGCACAGTTCTACTCTGACATAAATAAGTTGCCATGCGTTGGAATCGATTGATGGCAACTAATTTTTTTTTTTTGGTTTAAAATTGATTACACAGGTACTGAGCCCAGAAACTTTTCTCAGACTTCCCAAATTTGCAGAAGCACACACATATGTACGTGTCACCCCTACCCACATGGAGGAAGCCATGTGAACTTTCACTAAATTTGTCCATATTCTAGTGAGATAACACATGTCTGCCTACAGCAAGGATGTACAGACTCCACCACGACCCAAATTGTCAGGAAAATTCAAACCTGTAGCAGCAGCAACTTACAAGTTAATTGAATATATTTAATAAGTTTTTTAAGTCCATTGAATAATTTCCTTTGTGACTTACTTATACTGCTAGTTACATGGCTAAATCATTTGGTTACTAGGAACATAACTTACTATGTATCTCTGAATTAATTTCCTTATTAATTTAATCAGTATGATTTAGGGCCTGCTGCATGTAGAGAATTGGGTCTTGGATAATAAGAGGGAGAGAAGAAAAGTGCTGTTCTTAAGACAAAGTGTAATTGAGGAAACAGTTATCCTTCCCGGCCCTTGCATATCCACCTGCTGTGCCCCAGAGTGTAATGTTCTTGAGTACATGCCATGCTTTTCTCTCTGTATGTCTTTGCTTAGGCTATTCCATCTATGATAATCTTTGTCTGCTGACAAGATTCTGCTTATCCTTCAAGGTCAAGCTGTATGCTCTCTCCTTCACAAAAGAGCCCTAGAACCTTTATTCAGAAGTCACCTATCCTTCCTCTATGCATTGGTTGAGAATACTTTAAGATTCTGTGTATTTCCTGTTTCTACTCTGCTAAATTGTAAATTGTTGGAGGAATTTATTGCAGGGATTTCTTTCCTTTTTCCTTTTGTGTCTAGCATAGTGGTGGTGGTAGTGGTTGTTAGTTGATGTTAAGTTGATTCCGACTCATGGTGATCCAGAGTAGAACTGCTCCATAGGGTTCTCAAAGTTGTGACCTTTTGGAAGAAAATTGCCCGGCCTATTTCCTTGGTGCCTGTGGGAGGGCTTCCAATGGCCAGACTCTTGGCTAATAGTCAAGTGCTTAACTGTCTGTGTCACTTAGGGACTCCAACGCAGTAATGACTTCTCATTAAGCGTTGACTTAAGTATTGAATGAATTAAAGTCAGATGAGAAGAAATCAGTCCAGCAAGGCCTGGGATATCACATCTTAGTTACTAACGTTGATTTTTCTTTTTAATTTGTTATTCTAGGGTGCCATCTCATGCCCTGATGATGAGCAATAACAGCACAAACCACATTTCAATATAAAATTATGTAGTTAAGACATTTGGTTGTATTCCAGTTTAGGACCTACATGATTACGTGATTATATTTGTATTTTGCTTACAAGCCTTGACTATAAAGCTTTTGTAATTTTTTTTTGCAGTATGTTTCACCTGCATTTAAGTGCATGTAATACTTGGACAAAGGCATTTGTAACAGGAAGGGCCCAGTTACCTCGCCTGGCCTTGATGTTCTTGATATCTCAAGCTCTTACCCCAAAACTGCAGATAATGATCGCAGTTGTATGGTCACCAGTAGTTCTCCCACTTGCCAACATAAAAGACAGGTTCTACTCCCAGGAGACCCAAATGAAATTATAAATTGAGGAAGTCATAATCATTTAGTGTTTCATAATTAGCATTCTCCAATGTCTCTCACAATTCCTAGGGCCAAAGGGTCTAGCTGTTTAGTGGGTGGGCTTCTCTGCAGTGCCGGTCTAATGCTGTCACTCTGTTGAAGTCTCTCATGGCTTATGTTCTGCCTTTGAGCCCCGGTCCTTGCCACAGCTTCCTGAGGAAGTTGCTTCCTCTGTACCTCTCTTTATCATTCAGACATCTGCTGCCTGTCTTTGGGTGCCAGGAAACACCTAGTATGTCACAAATGTCCACTTCTTTTTATTCAGAATGTGGTTATAACAATGAAGTAAGGATACTACATTAGGAGATATCTCTCAAGTTAACCATGGTTTTAAACTTAATACTCTGGATGAGTCTGCTATACCTCTAAAAAAGATAAAGAGACTGATTCAATCCTTTGGGTTTGGTGGATTGGGACATTTATCTGAACTTTGGAGGTGGGTCATCTGGTATTCTATTTTTCATTCATTCAAAAAGTATTTGTTTTGAGTGCTTACTGTCTGCCAGCCACTAATGTGAGTGAACAAGATAGACATAGTTTCTTCTTTCAAGAGCTTACATTTTAGTGAAGGA